TGTATAATCACTGGGTTAACAGTAAATTTTTTATATGCGTAATTTTTAGTTTCTCAGAAACCTCATATATATAATACCTGCAGTAAGGTTGGAACCGGGACAGAATCTTGTCTGCAGCCTAACTTACGATTCCAAAGTGGCTTTATGTAGTGTGTTAGAACTTTTGTCAGACACTGGATTACTTTAAAAAATTTAAACATACTATACTGGCATTTGAAAGCTTAGACTAGGTTAAGTTAGGCTAAGGCTATGGTCATACTTTAACTGCTAAGGATAATCCTTAATGAAGCCATGAAACTCTTGTTGTTGTATCTCACATATCAACAAACTGCTTTGAACCCGTTAAATACACGTTAAAACAAACTTTCCAGAACAAAAAAAAAACAAAAAAGACTCGTGCCCATTCTACCAATAGCGAGACCTTTTCATGCAAGCTCATAAGCTGTATGATTATCTGCGATTTTGCTTCAGCTTGGTGTGCTATTACACCTTTAACTATATCCTAAGTTTGATTTGATCGTAGGTTTGATTCAAAAATCGAAGAATCTCACTTGGACAGATATTTGTTCTATTCGGCCAATTCAACCCCAACCTCTTCGATATGTTCTCCAAAGATGTGTCTACCGAGATATTTCAATTTAAGTCTGACAAAAGCTGAACAATATAAGAGAAAGTGACACCTTGCTTTTTTCCATACTGCTTTGACAAAGAGCATACGTCAAAATATTTAGTTGCACCGCGTGTATACATATTGGACAGTGTCCAGTCAGAATAATTCCGGCTAGATTGCTAAGAGCCAGTAGTTCAGAAGCTTTCTTACGGTTCACTCTGGGCCAGAAGGATCTCGCAGTTGCACAAGTTCTGGTTGTTGATCAGCATTTGCTGAGCTCACTGGAAGTCCAAAGCTCCAACGCCAGAACACAAGAAGACATCGGAAAACCATTTTTGAGCGCACGCAGAAGAACTAGATCTTGCTTGCTAAAATTTTTCTGCTTAAGCAGAAAGCTAAATTTCATTAAGGCAATCAGCCAAACGTCAATATGAGACTCAGCGGCTATTATAGGCATGTCTGGCATGCGTTAATGTTTGAACTCGAAGAACGTGAAAATAATGCTAGAATATTACATAAATCTAAGATTAAATTAAGATGGTAAAATCGGTTCCTTCCGAGCTACGTTCACGACTTGCAAACTGTATTGTGCAGTGGCCTTGAATAATGCTGCTTTCTTCGAATGCGGAAACACCGACCAACCACATATATTGGTAAACCACATGACATGGCTAACGAATTTTCTTCAAATAAATTAAAAATTTGTGAATCAAATTAACTTTGGAAAACGCACATTAACAACATGACCACTAAAGGAGAGCCAACGAGCAAGCGACCGAGCAGCAAGGGTCTTAACCAGATGTCCTTCTGGCACGAAGTCCTTGCAAGAAGGGGTGTGCAGTGCGTGCGCAGTGCAGCGGAACACGAACGAAGAAACGCTGAATGTCATTACAGAGCACGAAACGAAGTAATAAGTGGACACAAACATACACACACATAAAATGTGTTAAAATACGTTAAGAATTTTCACGTGCAACACCGGAAAGTTAGTAAAGTCCGTTATAGAATATTTGGCGGCGGGGCGGCGGGCAGTAAGCCACCGTTGTCGGGCAGGTGCGCATGTGAGCGTTGGGAAATTCTCGCGCGAAAACGGTTACAAAAGTAGAACCTTACCGTCAAGGTGATATACCCTACCGTTATTATGTATGTATATATATATGTCAGTTGCGGCATAAATTATTAATTTACATACAAATGAAGCACCGAAATGCACAATATAAATGTGGGCAATTTTATTAAAATTAATCCTGAGCTGTTGGGCGTTGCGTGTCAAACGGTCGCTTACAACCGCCTTAAGCATCTATCACGCCGTCAGGATAAGCGCGCGAACTAACGCACAAGCGTCGGCAAGCGAGCGATCAGTGGCCAAATCAACAGATCACAATCGCAATCACACGCGTTACATGACACAAACACACACATGCACACACGCAGGCAGTGCCTTTGATTGTGGCGCGTTCAATTTGGCTGCATAAATCCCACATATTTGTAATTAACCGCGTCACGCATGCGCCGCCGCAACACAGTCACCACCACCGCGATGACTGCGATTGCCGCGCTGATTGGGGAATGTGCCGCAACTGTCAAACGGCCACACGACAAGTCAGCGCCACTATGTGTGTACATTTAATAACCATGTGAAACAACAACAACAACGTCAAAAATGCAACTTGCTGTAGTTAAGTCGAGTTGTTGTACAAAAACTAATAAAATACTGAAAATATAAAATGCGCAAACATATCCTGCGTCTGTTTAATGTTTCTTTGTGCATATGTATGTTATGTGGCGTGTGTGAATAGGCTCGTGTAATCGCCGAAGTTAAGCTGTCGGATAATGCCGCTTCCAAGTGATGATGGCCAACAGCTACTGAACTGCCTAGTAATATTTTTGCTGCTGGCGCACAGTGGGCTCACGAAGGCATGTATAGACAAAAACGTGCCTACGAGTATAAGGAAATTTAAGATTTTGAATTTTTGTGTGTGATATATTGTTGACTTAGCCAGGACCCGAACATACGACTAATAAACCATTTAATATCGATAATTGTTACAGAATTTCGGTTTTTTGCACCTTTCGCCAATGTTAGCCAGAAAGTTCTTGTTCCCTATTTATACCCTAAAGAGGGTATATTCAGTTTGTCACAATTTTTGTAAAACCCAAAAGAAAACGGTGGAGAGACCCTGTAAAGTGTATACATATATAAATGATCAGCCGTCTATTTGTTTGTCCGTTTATATATATGCGAACTAGTCCCTCAGTTTTTGAGATATCGATCTGAAAACTTTTATTCGCCCTGTTCCCCACAAGAAGCAGCTCAGTTGTCATAACGGCCGGTATCGGACCACTGTAGCATATAGCTGCCATATAACCTGGCCAATCAAAAAGTTCTAGTAAGGAATCTTTTGAATTTGTGAAGGGTATTATAAAAATCGATATTAAAAATAACATACTAAAATTTTAAAACGATATCTCAAATAGTTTTTGAGACAAATTCTTCTAAAGCGTATCCGCCGTATCAATCAGTTCAATCAGCTCCATCAGTTTATCTTACAAAACGTTTTTCTCAATACAGATAGATGTCCTAACTGGACACTGTCCCTTTGGCACTCACACGGTGAGGCTAAAGGTTTTGGAAGACGCAACTTGCAGGGAGGAAGATGAAGTGGAAACATCTAGACACTGGTTTACGCCAGACTAAGGTTGAAACATCTCAGCTGTCATACTTTTTAAGAACCCGGCGAAGACTGTCCTAGTGGGATTATTCGTGGCCTAACCTAACCTAACCTAACTTTGTACGAATATATAGTTGGTCATAACTGGCCGACCTGTTTTTTGATCTGATCAAAAATCGAACTTTGGCTGGCCAAAAGCGACCAAAATTTTGGGTTGAATTCAACTTTTTTTAATTACACCCCCTTTTTGTCAATTTTTTATTTCTTTTCGACTGTAGGTCATTGTACATAAATATCTTCAAGTATGAATGTCTTTAACAAGGATGACCGTTTTTATATATAATATACCAAAATACTTATCATTGTTGAATCTCAAACGCAAATATAAATTATGAATGCGACGAATACCGGGATCACGATTAAATTGAGCGTATGCCATATTTTGAGCGCATTTGCCTTGATGAGGCCGCTGATGAGGCGACATTGTCGACGCCTGGCCGCCAATTATAGTCACGCGCGGTAACAAACTTATGTATGTAGATGTGCACTGTCATCACTCCTGTGCACGGCTGATCGCCACACAATCCAGTCTGACTGGCCTGTGTGCCTGACAGCCCGGCAGCCAAACTGATTGCGCTGATGCTGCAATGTGGCATCCATGGTGGTTGTTTAACTTGATATTGATATTGTTGTTGTTTTTGTTGCTGCAATGTCTTAATGGAATTATCAAGTATTTTAATAACAAACGAAAACATATGCGGTGGTCGCTTCATAATGCGCGCCAGCAATGAATGTGGCATTGTGCGCATGCGCAGGGCGCGCAGTGCAGGGTGTAAAGGGTATGAGAGGGAGATTGTAAATTTAAATTGAAATCCCCGCAAACAATCAACGCCCTGTCTCATAATTATTTTCACATTGTTATTAATATTTCATTTATGGTATTGTTGTTGGCTTTAAAATTGTATGATGTTGTTGCTACTGAAGCATGTACATCTGTATATATGATGCTTATCGCAGTAGCAACAACACTAGCACTGCCAGGCATTTGGCAAACCCTTCCACTGGCGCCCTCGCAAGAGGGTTGTCAACTCTACCTTGTAATGCGGCAATCAAACGTCTGCAAGGATCAAGAATAAAGCTGGCAGCTCCTGCCACAGGACATGCGCAATTGTATGATTGCACAAAGTGTGAATAATGTTGCAAGTAATTGCAGCATGTAGTATATTCACATGTACACATTTGTGTTTATGTCCATATGTTTACCGTTGTAGGCAACAACAGCAACACGCGTGCCATGTGGCAAGTCACGCGTATTGCCCCCTCGCGCGTTATCAATTGCATGTTTGCGCTCACTAATCACCAATCATATTTGCTAAGCACAAACATTGCCCTTGAACAACAGCAACACCACCACCAACAACAACAAACAAAAGTAAGCATTATTTTTCAATTGGCCTGCGTTGTGGTTGCACAGCTGCTCATTTTTCCGTTCCAGCGGATCAACTTCTGCAGCATCGCGATAAGCTTGACAGCAGCATCGAAGTCAAATAAATGGCAGATAAATGTACAAATGAGATAAAACGAATCGAACTTAGCTGCCAGAAATGACACCCTAACTATTCATAACATCACATCAGTTACAGCGCTTCTAAAGCAGTGTATAGTGGTGTGTCTCCGCTCATTAGATTAGTTTATCAATAGGAGTGTTCTCTACTCACCATTATCACGTTCGCTTTTATCATCGCCTTGCAGCGACGCACTCGTCGCGCCTAACGGACCCGCATCCGTGCCATTGGCGAAGCCATCGTTTAGGTGTATGGGTGTGCGCGGCCGTCCATCGATGGTGATTTCTTCGCCGGCATTAATATCACGATTTGTTTCATACCAAAGCTGTGAAAAATTGTCATGTTATTTAAACGGTATTTAAATATGTATTTGTTGTTGTTTTATTTTTTGTTAGTAAATGCATTTCACTCACATATCCTGCCACCAGGAAGTTCTTCAGATTAGCCTCTCCGTCATTGTCGACAGCGCGTATTTTGCGCAGCCACGTCGAAACATCATGTGACGGTTCCAACCAGCCGCGGAAATGTGGACCTGCAATGACCTATTGCGAAATGACGCGATTAATTTGAGCTGTGATTGGGTTTATAAACATAAGTAAGTTTTAATGTATCTAAGTATGGAAATTTGGCGGCTATACAACAGCATAATAGATAATCTATACCTATAATATATATACCGGACCACTATAGCATATACTTAGCTGTCAACCGAAGTAAATGTTTTTTCTTTTGTTTTATTAAACTTTATCTTCTTTTTACTTTATTTTATTTTTTACAAAAAAAATTTAACGCACCGTATTTCACATATATTGCGTTTTGCAGTGGTGAGATAAAATATCTAGAGCAATTGCGAGCGCCATCTGCCGTGCCGTAGCTAGCAAAGAAAGTGTTATACAAAACTAAGTATGTATGTGTGTGCATGAAACAGCAAATGTGGTAAGTAAAGTAGAACAGAGGTGAGTAATTGATTACCTTATTTAAAGTCTTAATCAAAAGGAATAAGATGGATGCATATCAACGTTCATATAAAAAAGGTTACGACAACATTGCAAACATAGCCTGCAAGGCAGCTATCGGTTAAATCACCGGTTAGTTAGGAATAGAGATTTCTGTTAAATTTTCTATGAGTTTCTTAGGGCCCAATTGAGAATTCTAACCGAAACTCTTGTGTAGACCATATACTATTACGAAAACTCTATGTGGAATTTCCTGAGGAACCGAGGGTACTGGTTCTCGAATTTCACGGTCCAATAGTCCAATTATCAAATTTCTTTTATTGTGTTGTACATGCCCCTGAAGTACGAAAACATTTTCAGCTGTATTAATTTCTTACTTTCTCTGTAGCAGCCGCTAGGATAGACGTGTTTTATGAGCTTGGCGATTTCCGTTTGTTAAAAGCTCACACTTTGTTGCTAGTTCATAAAGTCTTGTCCAAAAACAATAGTGTAATATCTCCATATTCGCCGGATATTGCTGCGTGCGACTTTTTCCTATTTCCAAAAATAAAGGGAACCTTAAAGGGCTGCCGTTTTACAAGCTAGTTGAAAATCACTAAAAGAGCTTTAGGCCATCCCAAAAATAGAGTTTGAGAAGTGTTTTGACGATTGGAAGAAGCGCTGGCATAAGTGCATGATATTGAATGGGACAACCTTAATATAGATGAATGAATAAATACTTTTTTCAAAAAACTAAATTTCCCGTTATTTTTTAAACACACCTCGTAGGCAATAATGGTTTAAACAAAGAACGCAAACATAAACAAGTAAGGAAGGGCTAAGTTCGGATGTAATCGAACATTTTATACTCTCGCAAATTCAAATAGTATACTCGTTTGAGATTTCTTTGTGGATTAACTGATATTTTCGGTAGAAGGTCAACTATAGGCACTGGGGTTCACATATTTAGTACTTAGGGGCTTGAACAGTTTTGGTTCGATTTAGACAATTTTTGGTCACAAGGTGGCATACTTTAAACGTATTATTCACGCAAAGTTTTACCCCGATATACTCATTGTAGCTTGATATGCATAGTGGAAAGTGTAACAATCAGATGGAATTTAAAATGGTGTTATATGGAAAATAGGCGTGGTTGTAGTCCGATTTCGCCCATTTTCGCAAAATGATTTATCGCGCTTTTAGTAGTTTTTAACAGTACCGTTATATGGGGAGTGGGCGGAGTTGCCACCCGATTTCACCCATTTTCATATTGTAGGTAGAGGTTCTAAAAACATTTTCTTTCAGTGAAATTTGTTATTACTGCATTAGTGGTTTAGAAGATATGCACATTAAACCTATTAGGGACGGGACCACGCCCACTTAAAAAAAAAATTATAACTGCAAATGTCCCTCCCTATTGTGATGCTGTATATCAAATAAGAGTCTTGTATCTTGTTGTGGAGCTTAGTTATGGCAATTTATTTGTTTTTGAATAATGGCGTTTTGTGGGCGTGGCAGTGGTCCGATTACGCCCATCTGCAATACCAACCGTCTCACGGTATCAAGAAACATGTTTACCAAGTTTCATAAAGATATCTCAATTTTTACTCAAGTTAGAGCTTGCACGGACGGACGGACAGACGGACGGACGGACAGACAGTCACCCGGATTTCAACTCGTCTCTTCATCCTGATCACTTATATATATTGTATATAACCCTATATCTAACTCGATTAGTTCTAGGTGATACAAACAACCGTTAGGTGAACAAAACTATTAAACACTGTAGCAACAGGTTGCGAGAGTATAAAAACTTACATAGCTAATGATAATTTTTTTTCAAATTCGTTCCGCTGCACGTATGAGGACGTTAGTTCTATGACGTCAATGGTTTTCATAAGCTCGTATTTTATGAGCGTTGTGCATCCATATACAAAAACCCAAACTGACTAGAGTTGAAGACTTGATTCATGTTCTTCATATTATATATTGACAATAAAACTTTACTTCAGATAAACATATATACATGTAAATATGTACATATGTAAATATTTGCGTTGATTTTCGTTAGTGTAATTTAATAATTTCGTTATGCTTTAGTTTAAAAAATATATATTTCGAAGTATGCTGCACCAAAAATCGCATTGATGGAACTTTTACTGGTAAAGTTGGCCACCTAAATGATTTCAAACGCGAATGATGCATTTCTCTCCCTTTAATTTCTATAGTGAAATAATTGTCTTTGATCCTGACAAATATTACTATATCAACTTTCAATGTTTTTGTTGCAAACCGACTTAAGCTACAACAATATCCCGCTTCCCGCGACCAAATCGAATGTCGCCCGCTGCGCCAAAACAATTTCAAAATCACCAATTACAGCAAAAAATCACATGCTTACGATGTGGTTGCACTAAGCAAGAATTTTCGCAAACACACTCATATGTACGTGATGTCCGCCCCACACCGCTTGCGTTTCTGCTTCATTGCCCGCCAATTACGGCAGTGTCACATGGCCCTTACATGACAAATTGAGCCAGCTTGCGTAAAAAAGTGAAAATGTTGAAAAAATCTGACCGCCGGCGGACGGCTGTATGTCATTAACTCAAATATCAGACGTATAAAAAACAGTGGTGAGTATTAGAAGTGCATTAAGGCAGAACACAAACGAAGGGCGCTCGCGGAAATAAGCAGTGTAATAACAACAAAGTGCACATTAAACTCGTCTTACTCAAGTGTATTAATGTGCGTCAGATTGTTTAAACCCGCGCCCACCTCCCCTCGGCTGGCTGCCGAAGCGACGTCAAGTCGTATTTGCTTAGAATTGAGTTGTTAGCTCAATTTGCAGAGCGTGTGCGCGTACTCATGCACACGCGGTTACGGTTAAGCGCTGCCTGCCTGCGCGCCGCCTGTACATGGTGCGCTGAGCTAGCCGCTTTTATCCACATGTCCGTCCGCGCGCTGTAGCGCATACGCGTATGTGCCACTTTGTGGAAACGTCGTTTTTCCGAATGACTTGCGAGATAAGAGTTTCGGTGCGTTTCGAACAAAAAACAACAATCAACTGCATGCGTTGTGTGTGTGTGTGCGTTGCTGCTGCTGAGTGTGCACTTAACAGTTGTTGGCCGCACAGCAACATCGGCGCGCATTTTGCACTCCAATTGTTTGTTGCACGCTGGCAGCGTCGAGACGATTTGTTGTAAAACATATTGTTTGTTGTCAAAAGTTGTGTTTTTCGCGTTTTCATATTTTTTCTTTTTGGTATTTTGTGATTTCCATATTTTGCTCATTCTGTATGCACACAAACGCAGCGGTCGCTGGCTGGCGGCTTGGGGGTGCGTGGCCCGACAAATGTTTCTTTACAAATTAAATTGTTTGGTAAATTCACTAAATACTCGCGTAATCTCAAGAGACTTCAGCTCGGCGGGGCGAATGCCGAAAGTCAGCGGGACCTTATGAAGGAGTCATCACAGTCACATTTACGGCGGCTCACCTCATCATTTCATGCCTATTCTAACGGTACCATACGCACACGCACTCACATACACAGGAATGCTCTTCAAGTTAAGCCTTCGCTTAGCCTCCTATTATCGCTTCGATTATAACTGTAAATTGATAAATTGTGCGTGACCGCAAAATAACGTGTGCGCATCCCAATTCCCTCCACGCTCTTCTCGCTACTTGGCGCGCAACGCAGACAACCCGTCGCGCAGTTATCTTTGGTTTCCCAATTCCAGTAGCCGAGAAGTCCCGCTGCGCCTTGACACCCTAGTTAGTAAGATGACCTTTGTTGGTTTTGTTGCCGCTTCTTGTTCTTCTTTCTTATCCTTTCTTCACGTACACGTTTGAGTCTTCCTTCTTCTGTGTGTGCCTTCTTCCCGTGTGTCTTGTCTTTTGTACCGCGCGTAAACATGTGTTGCTGTCTTCTCATAATTAATGTTAGTGCTACTTATCCGCTCGCTTGTTGGTTTAATTGATTGCTGTAAAATCCTTTTGGATGAGCGCAAATGTCGCTTAACAGAAAGAATTTAATTGGCTGCCTATTTTTTGGTCGAAAATCAATTGACTTTTCAGGTTACATTATGAAGTCGTATGACAGTTAAGCAGTTCGGTAATTTTTGAGGTCATGGAAAAAAATTTAAACAATTTAATTTGTAACATCGTAAATTAAGTGTCAGCAGCTGTGATTTTTTATGTATTAACTTGTCAAAGCAATTAGTCGACCTTGACATCTTTTTGCTATAACTTTTGAACTTTGTTGCTGTGACATCTTGAATCATTACGCAGCAACAGGAAATCTCAGACTTAATCCTATAAGCTAAGACATCTGACGTGGATCCTCGGTGAGCGTTGGTCGACAATCAGCCTTTGTAAGGCTGTGAAATCCTTTTGACTCATAGTGGAACGCAAGAGGTCCGTCGTACTATTCGGTCTCAGCAATGTTCATCTTGCCGCGGCTGTAGGGATTTTAGCCACGCACTGTTCGATAAGCATAGGTATGAATAAAGAAGACCGTCGCATATCAACAAAACGCCTGATGATGGCTGCCACTTCTGCTTGAAAGACACTACAATGGTCTGGCAGTCTGAAAGAAAAGATTGAAAGCTCCCAACAGAAAATTTCACCTCTAACCTTTCTCTTGAGCTTCTATCCATTCGCTAAAAGCTCGAACCATACTTTCGATAAACCGAGCAAATCGGTTGAAGTTGACAATGGTCACCTCAACAGATTTGTAATAGATCAACAACAGCAGATTTGTAATGGATCAACAACAGAACTCTGGCTAGTTTTCTTTCTAGCAATACATCACATCGTTTTTAAGCTTACTTACTACAAAAAAGTTGCATGAACTACTTCTAACTGGTCGGGTTATACTCTTAGTTGTGAAAATATTTGCTACATATTAGCTCCATCGATAGATTTGCTTACGATCTACAAGCAATAATTTACAGTTTCTGCACGAAATTGAGCGCAAGTTAGTAGAGTTGTTGTTTCTCGCCGAAAAGTAAAATGTGAACTTCAATTGTATGATATAAATGACCAAGCAGTTGCAAATATATTTTTTTGTAAATTCTGATTCACTTTCAGATTGCCATCAAGGCTACCAGGATATTCACACTACCATCACGACAAAAACACAAAAACTTTTTCTTGGGTAGTGACTCAAATTGCCAACATATGCAATTAGGTTTCTAGGGATTAGCGGGACAATTGGCAAACAACAACACACAGTCGAGGAGACAGTCACAGTCGCAGATGACAACTGACGACTGACAACTCAATATCGGAAGATCAGTTTAATCCGTTGCGAATGTATGGGTCGCATGGTGTGTCAAATTATAAACGGCAAAGGTATAAATACAATTACTGTTTGCCTGGCGCATTTGCAGCTCGATCCTGCTCTACTTTTAACAAACTCTATCTGCACACATAAAGCCATACATAGTACATATGTATTTCACAGTTTGAAAATTGGCTTCACAATGCGCAAGCCAAAAAAGGTAAGATAATAACAACAATGCGAGGTAGAACCCCTACAAATGTATGTCAACAATAAGAAAAATATTTACACGCACGAGATAATCTACTATTTGTATGATGATGTTCACACCAGCGGTTTCATGCGCACGAATTTGATGCCGACGCCCAGGCGCTGCTGCCGAATTGAACGCTCGATCTCGTCACTGATCGGTTTGCAATGGAAAAAGTGTGTCACTGTTTGTTCAGTATGATGTTTCAGTGAAGTGTTGTTTTTCACGTTTTTTTCTAAATTTGACAGGGAAATTGTCTCTGCCGTGTCTGTGGCAGAGATAAAGTGTCTATGCTGCCAATATTTGTTCAGCTAAAAGTTTTAGTTCGGAACTATGAGTATATGACTGTCGACTATTTGACAATTTAAGAAGGAATATACAAGTACTTTCTTGCAAATGTTTTTACTGAGTTTAAATATGAACTATAAACCATGTTTTTGCAAATGTATAATAAGTAGATTCTTGGAACGCTTGTTGTTAAAACCGGGTTAATAACTCCCTCTCATTAAAATCGGTTGATCTTAACAAGAATTTCACTTGAACAGCTTTTAACCGGTCCGTTCTGGTACCTAGAACTCCTTCAAAATTGATTACAAAGTCCCTCATAAAACGACGAACCGCTTTGAATTGATCACAAATTTGTTGTGGTGGCTAATGTCAGTTTCGGCTATGTCTCCTGGTTCACCGAAGTTATGAAGTTAGTCTTGCAAAAGCTGGACAATAGAGGAGAAAGTCACGTTTCCACTTTACCCTTCTCCAAACAAATTTGACAGTTTGCATCCGACTGGATTTTCAGCTTTACAGCATGTATTCCTATTGGACAGTATCCAGGCATTATTTACCTTTAATAAAATTATTTTGAGTGAGTTTGGAACTTTTCGTTTAATTTATAAATTCATTCTTTTCCAAGAGTATAGGCGCTTACTATTAAAAACTAGGTTTTGATCGAGTTTTTTGGCCACAGGTCATAAGAACTTTATTGAGTTAGTAGAAAAAGAATGTTTCCCTTTCAATGTCCAATCTGCAGTAATGTCGAAACGTTCTAGTGAGTGAGCTTCTGCAAGATGATGGTATTCGGAGACTATCGCACGTATCTATTTGTAATTTTAACTGAATCTTCATAGTAACTAGTCCCCAGCAAGACCTATGTAGATTAAGGTCCCATTTTTATTTAATTTTTTTTTTCAGAAAGAAAAGACTTATGTAGATTAGGATCGCGTTTTTTATTTTGTTTCAGAAAGCACGAGCTCATTGATTCATTGTTGTTCGTAGAGGTTCTCTTAAAAATTAAGATTCCAAAAATTACCCCTGTACCTCTTTTGTACCAAAATGTCAAAATAAGTTATTAAAATACTTTATTCTAAATCTGTTTTTTTTACTGAACTTAAGACCCGAATCACACCACTGATAGAATATAAGAATCACTAGACGTAAACATGAACTTCCGAAGTATGGTCCAGAGTGAAAATTGTTTTTTAGTTAAAATACCCTCTTCATAAGGTTGCTTATTTGTCCACTATAATATCTGAGGCTGAGAAATCATTTGCGATTCGATCTCCACCTTCTGTAATGACAACACGTTCATCGACTCTAGTACTTAAGATACTTCTAAATTTTCAAAAAAACTGCAGCGGCAGATACTGAGCGCCTGATACGAATTGATTCGGGGATCATCCTGAGCAAAACATATGCTTTCGAAAATATTTTAAGAAATAACAAATAGAGTTAGCAGGCAAGTAAATGTCAAAGAAACGTCGGCTATGTTAAGCGTCTACCCAAGAGTGTGGATCAATTTGTAGAGTATGCTGCAACTCGAGTGGCTTGCTTCTTGATACTGCAAAGTAGAGTTGAAGTTGAATGTAACTACCTGGGAATTGTTTTTATTGTTTACTTAGAAATTTTTATGATTGACAATTGTCAGCTCGAAACACAGAGTTGAGTTCTCATCTGGGCAAGGCGCGATAATTTGATTGGATTGTCAAACGGTAGCGCCCCACATGCATACGTATACAGCAAGGAAGGATGCAGCGAACGGACGAAAATCGAAAGTGCAGATGAAGGGGATGACAAACAGACAGCCTGACAGCAGAACCGGAGCTAAGATAGCTGAAGTGAGGTAGTGATGGTGATTTGTGTGCGTGTAGCTGTGTGAGGAGAGCAGGATGCGTGCGCTGTTGTCTGCACATAATACTGTATGCCGGACCCTAATTGGTATTATCTGCTTGTTGGCGAATTTAAGCCTCATTTGAGGGACACTTTGTGGATTTGCGCGTATTTTTGCACACACTGTTGTTGTCGCTTTAATTTCCACACACGCATTTGGTTGCCGGAAATTAGCTCCGGTTTGTGGCACATCCCTAAACATATCCGCCGCTTGTGTGTGCGAGCTTCTTTATACTATCCGATACGCTGCTGTCTCAACGCAAACTCGGCGTTCTGTTATGCTATCAGTCCATAGGCCTCTTGTCACAGCGGTGAGGCGGTGTGACAATTCGCAGCCGCTTTTCTGATTGACAACTGATGCGTGCAACAACAGAACTAAAAACAACAATAACAACTCGGAGCTGTGTTCAGTCTGCTTTAATCGAATATTTTCTTGATCACTTAATTTTCATTGATTTTGTCGCATTTTTGCACCCAAAAAGGATGCGAGCTAAATAATTATTTGAAAATGTGCAAATTGGGACTGTGGTAATTTTGGGTAACGCTTGATGGGATTAAATTTCAGTGCCACACACACACACACACATGTATTTATGCAATTTGCGACCGCTGCTGGTAATGCGATCCGCATTTGCAATTTTCGCACAGATGCGAAAGGATTAAGCAACGGAAAAATTGTCAACCAACCAAACAACAAAGCAAGGCGCGCCCAGTGACGAGTTTTCACCCAAAAATATGCGCAAATTTCCAACGAAATCGCTGCGTTTTCCCACTAAATTAAATTAATCAGCATCAGCTGCGAATTGGTTTCACACACTCATGCATGCGCACTTACCTCCCAAGCCAGGCTGGGCGCCGTCGGCTCACTGCACAACTTCACCGCAAATGGGCCATAACGCGTTCCACGGCTGAGCCGCACCTTCGCATATACGCCGCTCTCACGTATATCCAAACCACTTATGGAATCGTCGCGTCCACGCAAACGCGCCAGCTGCGTGAAGAAGTCTTCCGCGTGCGCTTTACTGCCAAAGAATGGATTGTACATTGGATGCGCTGAACTGGACGCAGAGGCGGGCGATGTTGCGGACGTTGCGGCTGCCGCTGCTGCAATGGCTTGTGTCGGCAAGTGTTGTTGGTTTTGTTGTGGTGGCTGCAAGTTAATGCTTTGTTTGTTGTTATTGTGATTATGTTGTTGCTGTTGCTGATGATTGTGATATGCCCCCCCAATGGGCGCCGCATAAAGTGGCGATGTTTTCAAATCGTATGTCGCACTATTATGGCCGTTTTGTAGAATTGTGTTGGCATTGACGTTGGCGCTGGCGTTGACATTAGCGGCGATTAGGTCACCGCTCTCGCGCTTGTGCTCGCCGCGTTCGTAATTCAACGACGGTTGTGCGGCGCTCGCTGTCAGTGGCGTCGTTGGCAGGTGTGTTTGTTGGTGGAGATGATGTTGCAGGGGGAGTTGATGATTGAAGTGATTGCTGTGGTGATTGGAGAATGGCACAAAATTGAGGTGTCGCACTGCCGCCGCTTCGTACTCGTCGCCACTATTGCCTACAAAAGAAGGTAGAGAAAAAACACTGAAGTTAAATATCGCTACAAATGTATTTCATGACAGAAGTTATTTATAGAACTGTAACAGTTATGATATGCATATAATTGCAAACACTTTTATTTATTGAAAACGTTATTTTTAATGAGTTTTAAAAGTGTTTTTAATCCATCGATGTGTCCATTTATAACGTTGGCATAGCATCAATGCTTAAAATTCCATTTTTAAAATAATCGACAGTATTCGGTCTTTTCAAAAGTCGCGAAATTGGGTCAAATGCTATACTCAAAAGTACTCAGAACTTCTGTAGGACTACTCAGAAATTAAAAAAACCGTGCAAGTACTTGATACGATACCTTTAAAGGTTAGTGGTAGTCAGGATTTTGATCGATCGATTTTTTTTGCATAAGTTGTGTAATATATTAGAAATCTTTTCTGAAAACTGAAGTAAGTCCTACAAGTACTTTTTGAGTTATTCGATAAATAGCAAAGGATTCTCGAGTGCTGTGGAACGTTGGTGTAAAATTTCTGATGCGTTTTTCTCAAAACAGGTTTCACCGAAGTTGTAATAACCATCACGAATAACAAAGTTTCCATACAAGGACTTTCTTCCGATCGTTCAGATTGTGTGGCAGCCATATATAATACTATAGTGATCCGATCAAATTTTCTTCGGAGAGTACATCGTTGCTTTGGACGATACCACATGCCAAATTTCATGGAGATATCTCGTCAAATGAAAAGTTTTCCATACAAGCACTTTATTCCGATCGTTAATTTTGTATGGCAGCTACATATATACTAGAGTGGCCCGATAGCGGCAATTCCGACAAATGATCAGTTCTTGGGGAGAAAAAGACGTGTGCAAAATTTCAGATCGATAGACGGACGGACATGGCTTAACCGACTCAGCTCATCTGATATGATGTGCTGATCATATAGATCTATATTTTTAGGGTCTGCGACTTTTAGACTTCGGGATGTTATAAACATCGTGGCGAACTTAATAGGTCCTATTTAGGGTATAAAAAAGCTTCTATCAGGCACTAGATCATCTTTTAAATATTATTAAAGAATCACCAAGAATTAGCGATGGTCATCGCAAGGAGCTTCAGTGGGAACTGGACCAACAAAAAACATTCATTACTTTTTAATTTATTGTATTTTTTTTTGTATTAAAACAGTTTACTGGCAAAAAAAATTATTATAAATTTTATTTTTTTCATGTCTCTGACTACACCTAACCGCTTAACATACAAGTATATCAGGTACTTTGAAGTATTGCTATTTGTTCCCACGACGATCGCGTCTAAATAATTGAAACAGGGAGGGACTATTACTCGGCAAAGAGCTGTCAATTGGGCAGCATTCCTTAAAAGATAGTGGTACTCGCACATATTCGACTAAATCTCAAAATAAACTAAAGTAATGAGTTCGAATAAGTTGGAAGGAAAAGGAGAATTGTCAAATCTTAATTTTTTAGATGCTTGTTCATGCCTCAATCAGAATATTTATTTTTCTGAAAGCTTGGTCTTGGCTTTTTGTACTTAAATAAAAGGTTAAGCAGAATAATCGACACAATGTCCTGAACCAATGGCTCACCACTTCGTTCCAGTATCAAGTGCTGGATACTTCTATGAACTTTGAAAAGCCAAAAACAACAATTTAGTTTTATTTTGTATCTCTAAAATAAGCTTATCAACCCAAATGTGAACCTTTCGAAGGGCTCTTCAATTGCATGTCTTCTTTTGAAGCAACGAAAAATTGTGTTTTCACTTCGTGTCACTATCGTTGCTTTCAAACGCCAGATAAGATACAAATATCGTAAATTAATCAAACAAATTTGGTCAACCGAAATACAACGGTATCTAGCAACGTAACTAATTTGTGGTGTCAAACAACTGTAAATAATTATGAAATGTACTGCGTGAATACTCCAATTTACTTTGTACGAAAGACAAGATAGAGATTAGTTAAGGCTAAGTGGCTTCTTGACGGCACAAAACGGCACATATGTATATACATGTATGTATGTGTGTGTTTGTGTTTGCTTAAATAGATACATAACATACAAATGTCTATTTATTCGGCAGCATTGAATCCGATTTGACATACAGTCTATAGGTAGGATTGGCATTATCTCTTCTAGTGGATCTCTTTAGTGGCGTACACATACATTTGTGCATATGTACTATATCACTACGGCAATACGGAATATGATAAGCGATGTGTCATCGTTGTCAGCGATTTTTCGATGAATTACAATAACAACAAACAATGCGGCAACAAAGTTGTTAACGAGCCAATGTGGGAAGTTTCGCAATCTCAGCGCTTCTGAAGAGCCAAAAGACAAAACAACACACAACATCTACAATGTACTTGCAAAATAGAATATGATATGAGAAGAAGAAGGAAACGAAGAAAAGGACGCCAATATACAAATAAACAAACCGATTGACAGGCGCGATTCGATATCGGAAGAGTCATTCAAATAATCGTGTATAAATATATAATACTGAAAAAACATACAAACATATTTTCAGATAAGAGAGATATTCAATATGTCATTGTATCTGTCTACATACTCACGTAGTTTATTTAGTAAAACAATAACATAACGCTTTTAATTTTAGAAGCGATTAAATCAAACGTGAGGACTTTGTCCCCAGAACCAATACAAAAAAAAATAAACGTTACCGTCAGCTGCACCGAAGCTATAATACACTTCACCGTTGCATTTTTTATACCATAAAGGGTATAAAAAGATATTTATTGTGATCTTGATCGATCAGTTTATAGGGTAGCTATATGTTAGAGATGTACGATCTAAGCAATTTCTTCGACGATTGTTGCAATGCTTTGGATAACCTACTAAGTCAAATTTCGTGAAGATACCCTGTAAAATAAAAAGATTTTCCATACAATGGCTTGAGTTTAATCCATCAGTTTGTATCACAGCTTTATGCTATAGTTGTCCGATCTGAACAATTTCTTTGGTGATTAGAGTGATGCTCTGGCTAATAATTTATAAAACATTCGTAAAGACACCTTGTCCAACTAAAAAGTTTTCCAAAAAAGGACTTGAGTTTGATCGGTCAATTTGTATTACAGATATATGCTATAGTTGTCTGATATCGGTGGTTCTGACAAATGAGCAGCTTCTTGGAGAGAAAAGAACATGTGCAAATTCTCAGATTTATATCGCAGAAACTGAGGGACTAGTTCGCGTATATCCAGTCGGACAGTTATTTATATACTTTATTGGTTTCCGACGTTTTCTTATGAGAGTAACAAATATCGTGGCGAAATTAATGTACCCAGTACGAAGTATAATAAAACCAGAAAGCTCTTACATTAAAAGCTATCGCAATATATAATATTTATGCTAGATGATATATTTCATAAAAAAATTTCTTAGAACTAAAAGTTATCGTCAACGTCACCTAAGGAAGGGTCCAAACGTAAAACGGACTTTTCGGCTAGCTTGGGATATAAGGAGAGGGAGTTAACTTAGTTGGTGTGAGGAGGCATGCACCATCTCTATCACTATCATGTTGAATATCTTGCAAAAGTGGGGGTCGCCAAATGAACGGCAGCTTGAGTCATTATAGTTCCAACTCAAAGTAATTAAAGAAAAGTATATTATCATCTGTCACATCTTGTTATCTGCTTGATCTTAACCACATTGCGCCCATTCAATCATTCCGCCGTGCGTTAGACCACACACATTTCCGGCCGGTATATGTACATCTATAACTGTCCACGGCATGTGTGTGGCCGCTCCCTTTGCGAGCACCTTGTAACGCCATTTAGTTCTCTACGCAAATAAGGCAACCCAAAACTGAATAATCAACAACAAATCTATAAAGACAACAACAATTATGCTATTCAAATTAGCTCTAAGTTGTAATTTTGTTGCCACAGCCGCGGCGTTAGCCTGTTTGTCTCTAAACTATGCCGCTGAGTGTGAAATCCTTCACCAGTTGCGCCGTACAATGAATGCCGACCGCAACTTTGCATAGCGCTTATCTCAAGGATTCACATCCGCATGTCAAATTACATGAGCGCACGCCAAAAGCAAATATGTGTATGTGTGTGTAAATAGTCCTGCACAAAGGTTGTAATATAATAGGAGCTCTAATCAAATAGTCGGTAATCTGAAGGAAGTGTGACTTCAGACTATGCGTAAGAAAAATTGTTTTAGTTTGGAACTTTAAAGTACGAGTCATTCATGAAACAAGTCACCCAACCTGATCTTTAGTTTTTTATTTTGTCAATATTTCTATTCAACTAAAGCGAATTTCCCAATTCATTTCTTTATTGTTTTTGTTAAGCATTTTGAATTATATTGCGTCTGATATCCTTAAATAGCCATGGCTAATTGTAATTATTCCAATAAAATCAAAACCATATTTAAATTAAAAGAAACTACTTTACAATTTGTTGCTGTTGTAGGGTCATACAATTGTTGTGAAGTAATTCTCATGCCTTAGAATTATATAATTTATTTTATTTAATTGTAGTGACCATAAAAATATTTATTGTTTTTGTTAAAGCACAAATATCTTCGGAAATCGTTTTGAAAAATATTGTTGCGTTTGCAGTTATTGAACGAAAATAAATTCGGGAAGTGTCACAGAATTAATCTCTTATGACTAGGGAGACACAATTTTCCACTGCTTTTTGTTCAAGGAATTGCTAGTATTCAAACACAAAGAAAATTTCGATATAAATCGGCATATATTCCGTAGTACTATATGAACTGTTATTATACTCGTTTCCCACATATTCGTTCGTTTTGAATCGTCGCCTAACGTTACGCTTCTTTCCGAATTTTCTTATATTTCAGAATTTTATAGACCTAATGCGGGATGCTCATCATAATCCGCTCTAATCAGTCGAAAAAAGAAGAAAAAAAGAATAAATATTAACTACGGTTGCGCCGAGGTTATAATACACTTCACAAATACAAAAGATTCCTCACAAGAACTTGATTTTGATCGTTTAGTTTGTGTGGTAGCTATATGCTATAGTGGCTCGATCTGAACAATTTCTTCGGCGATTGCACTATTGCTTTAGGTTACAATCCATGCCAAATTTCTTAAAGATATCTCGTCAAATGAAAAAGCACACACAAGCACTTTATTCCGATCGTTCAGTTTGTATGGCAGCTATATGCTACAGTGGTCCGATATCGGTCATTCCTGCAAATGAGCAGCTGCTTGGGGAGAAAAAGATGTCTGATGATGATGATGCAATATTCCAGACCGATATCTCAAAAACTGAGACGAACTAACGGACAGACGGACGTGGCTAAATCAACTCAGCTCAGCATAAAAATGTATTTGTCCTGAGCGGAAATTCCATTCTTATTAATTATAAACAAAAGATAAAACTATTAAAGAAAAATTTCTAAATTCAGTTATGCATATGTGTTCAGAGTAAAATATCTAATAAATATTACCAACACATTACTACATCAATTACTAAGTAATCAATTACTTTTAATGCTGAGAAAATTATCGTATTTTGTTGTAACCGTACCTGATAATGCATAGCGATCGAAAATCATATTAAAGCCGAGCGTTGCAAACCAAAATATTTGGTTGATATATCTTTTATAGTTTAATTAAGTATTGATTACTTTTTATTTAGTTTACTCATCCATGTAAGTACGCAACACATGCCGACGGTAAATGCAACTTGAGTTGAGCATTGACTACTTGTAGGCGAATTATAAATAATTTAAATAAATTATAATTAATTTAACTTAATTATAATTAATTTAATTATGCATTAAAGGTACTAGTACGATTTGCGATTTGATTTTTAAGCGTTAGTTTCTTAAGTGTTTTGAAAATTATGAATTATTAAATTTAAACTTTTTAATCATTTTTTAAATAAATATTTACTAAATTTGCATAAATTAAAAACTTTAAATCATAGTTGCATACAAAACAAACTATTAACTCTTGTTTCTGTTTTTGCACTTAATTTGTAATTGCCTAAGTATTGATAATTGTAATTTGAATACTTTAATTTCATGTTAACAGTACTTTGCCGTTTCTACGGTTATCTTTTTAAAACATCCGCTACTTCCACTTTTTCTAGTCAATTTATAAATTTCACTGTTCTAACACACCACTTTCCGGTAATTCTAAGTATTTTTTTTTTTCACATATTTTGTAAAATTTAAATTTTGTTTAGTAGGTATTTGCTTTTTTTTAAATAAAATTTTTGCAAATCAAAGACTTTCACGCGCCCATTTCGCACAACAGCTGTGATTGCAGCGTCACAGACACACTTGTAATTATCCAGTCAGTAATTGATAATTTTAAAATTACAAGCTGCTTTTGAGCAAAATTACACGAAATTAATCTGAATATTTGCTATATTCCACAAAATAATTAAATCATAATTAAGTCCTTGAAAACAATGATTTTTCACTATTTTAAAGTTTCAACTTTTCACAGTTACACTAGTACCGAGTGCGTACGCGTCAAGTACGACTTCTTGAAGAGTCACAAAAATGTCAAAAACGCTCGAGCACTAACGGCGAACGCCGAAGTTAGTTAGTCAATCGTGCGTACCGCTTGCCAAAGACGAATGCGAATAATATGCAGTGAAAATCGCAGAGCCAGCGAGCACTGAGTGGTCTGCGTGAGTTGTCTGTCTGCCGGTTGTCTCCGCAAGACTAAATCAAACCAAAGCAAAACGAAATGCTGCAAACGGATGCGAACACGTCCACGCAGATACATCAACACCCAAGGCGAATGAACGTCGTTTTAATATTTGAAATGGTTTGGGATGCTACAAACGGATGTTCGAGTTGGGATGTGCGTTCACTCGGCGTTGCTTCAGTGCGCGTCACTAGCACAGTTACAGTTAGCGGTGCAGTGACTTAACGGGGATGGACCGGGATGTTCGATGAGGATGTTGTGGCTGATGACTAAATATTTACAGTGTACGTGTCTCTGTGTGAGTGATCGAGCTGCCTGCAGGGAATGAAGAAGGGTGGCATATGTGTGCTGTGCGTCTTTTTGTTGTTGTTTATTTATAGAATATTTGAGTCTCTGTGTATGTGTGTGTGTGCAAAGCGGCGTTGTTGCTCGTCAATGGTTGGTGGTAGCATCAGCGTGTCTCGTTGCGATGACTATCTGCATCTCGTATCCGCAAACAGCAGGGGATGAACGCAAACCCACAGCCATCCACACACATACACGCGCGAATACACACAAAAGACAGAGCACAGCTGAAGCTACAACTATCGCAACATATTTAAAATTATCAAAGCAAAAATAAATACGCGACAACAACAACAACAAAATGTTGCATCCACAATAACCACGAAAATGATGGCGCTGACAACAACGACAGCGCACACACACGCGCTGGCTGCTACCGACGACGACAGCAACAAAGCACACGGAACGCCACAACAACCGTTCGAATTGGGAAATCGTCGTGCCTGCGGCGAGTGAACGTTGGCGAATGAATGCCAAGTTGGCAAATATGCCGCTACGGCGACGGCGAGATAGTAGCTACAACGTTGTCGACGTCGGCGTCGTATTGCGGCGCCGAGGATGAACGGGCAGCACTCGGTGTGCAGGATACGAATTCCAATACGAAAAATAAAACTCATACAATTGTAATACTACAGCCAGCCGATTGCGGCAATTGTGGCAGTAAATGTGCGTATGAGTGTATATGTGCGGTGTGTATGTGAGACTGTTCGAGTTACGGATACGGATATGGTTGCCTAGGATGATACGCTCAAGGATGAGCGAGCTCTCTCATTGCTCGATATAGATAGATTTTGCTTGAAGGTGGACATAATATACACATGTATAAGCATATATGTAGATATGTACATACATATGTATCTATATATATTATGTAAATTTACATATAGATACAAGTATGTAATATGGTATATATGCATGTTCCTGGTATCAAATATATTCGGAAATCTACTTACACAAATAATTTTATCTGATGACATATACGAGTGGGTATCTACATATACAAATACACATATATAAATGCATATTGCGTAAGGCTTTCCAGCAGCATATTCAATGCGAATGTGGTTTACCCAAGCTCGTTGTCGTTGTTCATCCGTTTCTGATTGGATTTGTGGGACTGAGACGAGTTGGCAGCGCATTAAAACGAGCATGCGGTTGGCAATGAATGAGATTTGATTTTGAAGAGCCTCATTGTGTTGTTAAGCAAGTCAATTTAACTTTTCAGCTTGTTGACAATGTTTACAAAAGCCATATAATATTAATTTGCCCCCAAGCCCAAGAAAAAAAGAAATTACAAAATTTATAGCTAAAAAACGTGGAAGCCAATTCGAGATGGATTTTTGTGCATATTCCACTTGTATTAAATTCTAGAGAATTCCTAGAAAATAATTTGATCTTCGATAGAGTTCTATCGTTTCATATGTCATAAGAAAATTCTGTAGTTAAAAAATCGATTATTAATTTAACATTTCCAATTGGACAAAAATTACTTTGAACGATCGATGGAACGTTGGTCTCTTTAAAAATGTTCCATCGAAGATATTTTGATGGTTTTGATCTTATGAGTAACCTCTTGTTTACTCCACTTCAACAGTAGCTGCCAACATCGGACGTTCCTACGCATTTGATGCTAGAAGGCCGTCTGCCGGTCAACAATTTTAATAACTTCTGTAGGAATCCAGTTTCCTGTTTCGTCTTTCAAGCCATACAGCAATGACGACCTTCAGCGAACTCTGACATTCTGAAATGAACTTAAAATACACTGTTAACTGACTTACTTAAAGTAATATTACTCACTAAATTTAGTTTAAATCGGTCAAGTAGATCCCGATAAGTAGGTTTTCACCCAAAGGTGTGCGTTATATGGGTGAGGTTATCACCCGATTGCACATATTTTCACACTGTCGGTAGGGGTGCGAAAAAGATTTGTCCGCAATGAATTTGGTTATTATAGCTTTATTGGTTTAGGAGATTTGCACATTAAACCTATACTAATATTTCAAATTGCAGATGCCCCTCCCTAATGTGATTCGTTGTACCAAATAACAGTCTTGTACACAAGTTTAAGTTTTAAAATTTGAGTTTGTTGGGTGTCGGCATGCTTATCATCTATACCCTCAATTCCAACGTGAGTAAATAACACAAATATGCACAGCGTGAGATGCATCTAACTCGAGAGAATGCATGAGAGCATGTGCGGGCATCCATTCTATATGAGCACAAATAAACAGACAAAAGGTGAGTATAAATGCTAAGGCATTAGATAAAGACTTTGAAGCAATGGGACGTACAACGTGAAAACAAAATGGCTGTACGGCAATTCAAATGTAACAGTCAGTCAATTCAGTGATGAAGAAGTGCAAAGAGCGAAATATTTAAATGAAATTAGCATAATTATGTTCTTAAAACTTTTTTCTTTTCCTCTTTAATCATATGGAAGTCTAAATTGGCTTTTGTAAGGAGCAGCAATATTATTTTAGGTTAGAAGATCGATATTTTTATATCCATTGAATAAGAGTACGAGTACCTTGCTTATTTGAAAATTGCGCAGTAAATCAAATTTATTGTAATTATAAGAAATATATAATATTATTAGAAATTAAATTAAATGCCCACACTCTCAAAGATAATGTGTTTAAAACAATCTAGTATAATGCGGAAAGCATTTTGCAAGACTCGTTTAAAATTAAACTGTGGATTCAACTTAACAATCGGCGCACGATATCAGAATTTTGTAAAATACGTTTCAGCTAGAAAATTATGATTTCAAAAATAAAAAATATGAATAACTTAGGGTATGGCTAACTTAAAAAAACTATGCCAGTTCTTAAAGAATTTATTCTTCGATCTGGACCTAAATGAAGAAGAAACGTTAAGTTCGATTACATCGAAGCTATAATACCCTTCACATATACAAAAGATTCCATACAAAAACTTGATTGTGTTCAGCCAGTTTGTATGATAGCTATATGCTATAATAGCCTGATCTGAACAATTTCCTCAGATATTATACCGTTATCTTAAACAATAATGCGCACCAAATTTCGTGAAGAGATCTCGTCAAATAAAAAAGTTTTCCATAACAGCACTTAATTCCGATCGTTCTGTTTGTATAGCAACGATATGCTATGGTGATCCGATCTAGAAGGTTTCTTTAGATATTATAACGTTGTTCAAGATAATTTATGCCAAATTTCATGAAGATATCTTGTCAATTAAAATAGTTTTCCATATAAGAACTCAATTTTGAAAATTCAGTTTATATGACAGCTATACAAGTATGCTATAAAATGTCTTTATTGCCGGTTCCGACAAATGAGCAGCTTCTTTAGGAGAAAAGGATGTGTGCACAATAACAGAGCGACTGAGGGAGTACTTTGCGTATATATAGGCAGACTGACTGTTGATCATTTATATATTCGTATATAGTTTCTAGGACCTCTGACGTTCACTTCTGCGTGTTACAAACTTCGTGGAAAACTTAATATACCCTGTTCGGGGTAGAAATATGCGCGTTCTTAAAAAATCCATTCTTCGATATGAACTTGTAAATATAGTTGCGGGTTTTAAAAAGAGCCTAAAGTATTTTAAAAATCTGATAATTCAATTTGCTTGCTCAAAAATGCTAAAAATACAAAAATTTTTGTCAACACGCTCGGTTATATAATATTTGGTTCTGCACGAATTCAGTGCGTTCTTACTTCCTATTTATTGTAGGTATTTAATGTAACCGAAATAAATAATTACATAAAACATGGATGCATTATTTGCACGTATAGGTACGGTGAAAACACAAAGGTATACATGCACATATACTTGTATGTACGTAAGACATATGTACATATGAATGTGTGAGCATGTTACGTTCATTTATAGGGCGAAATGTATGCGTTGAAGTACAACTATAAGCATATGTGAGGCATTTGGATGGCGGAACCACCTCAGGCGCGGTGAGAGCGTTCTGTGCCTCGCGGTTGGCTACAAAGAAAAGTGAAAATAAAAACATCAACAATAAACTTCGAACAAAACGCTACACATACTTATACGTATTGGTAAAAAATAAAAATGTGAAAATAAAATTCCAACCAGAAAAGTTTACAAAGACTCTCATGGATGAGCCGCAACCAAATAAACACACGCGCACAAACGTCAAGCGCCGGCAGACAGTGCACGCATACCTACGCAGCAGGCACACACACACACGCAGCAATGTGAAATAAAATGAACCCGGCAAATTGGGAGGAGCAACAGACACCGAATTCAGGATAATAGGGCGTGTACATTGTCCTCGCATTCATTATTTAGCTGCGCGAGTGTGTGTGTGTGTGTGTATTATTTGTTTTTGGTTGCCTGCTTTTGAATCAACAAGGGTATGTAACTCTGTGTGGATGGGCTCTGCGCCAGCAGCAGATACAGCAGCAGCACGAATGATACAACGAAGGATGCGCCGGTCCACAACCAATACATCGTCATAAGCGGCAAGTGATTGAGGTGAGCAAGCTAGCAACCAGTCCTTGCGTTTCACAACAACAATTATGAACATTGTGGCAAACAACTACCTGCACTCCAGGCGACTGCCATGTTGCCACATCCAATGACGCATCCGTAAACAAACAGACAGAACACATTGCGAGGACATACAAGGCGCATCAGGCCACATCGCACTCATATACGCAGCATGCGACGGTGAGAGCAGCACTATCATTTGCCACATTGTCTACAGCAACAACATGAGTACATAGGCGCGTCTGTATGTAAGTAGCGCCGTGTTGCAAGTAGATACATGCGAAAATAATCGCATGTAGGTGGTTGTTTGGTTGACGCTTCTTTGGCTGGTTGGTCGGTCGGCTGACTATTTTGTCTCGATTATCATCATGCTCGCAATCGTCCTGGCGCATGTCTGGTATCTCGCTCTGTGGCATACACCAAGCCCAGCAGCGCTAGCAGATACCAGCATAGAGATACAGATACTCGTTTGCTCTTCATCCAATACAGATGCGACAGCGTCGTTGGCAACATGTGAGAGCACAGTGGGCGCGCCGGTGGGTGGATGTATGCCTTGTTTTTCTTGTTGTTGCTGCTATTGTGCGCAGCATAAATGTGTTTGCGGTTGTGGTTGACCGAACCCACAGCGCTTGCAGCAGATGATGGGTACACACCATGCCACACGCAAACATGCTCGCCACAAAACCAACGTGCACAACATCGTCCTTCCTTCGTTTTACCAAGCCGAAGCTTGCGCAAAACATCCTCACACATTAGCCGACAGTGAACGATTGAAGATTTTATGTATTTTACGGGGTCGGAATAGTCCGTGGCATGCTGTGGGCTGTGGGTTGTGGTAAGAGGCATAAGCCAGCAGCTCGATGCAGGCTGGGAGTCAGACAACGAGCCAGCAGCGAACGTCTGCTGCTGTGTGGTGCAAATAATTGCAAACTTTTCACTGCACGGCAGGTGAGTGCGAGTA